TAGATAGATAGATAGATAGATAGATAGATAGATAGATAGATAGATAGATAGATAGATAGATAGATAGATAGATAGATAGATAGATAGATAGATAGATAGATAGATAGATAGATAGATAGATAGATAGATAGATAGATAGATAGATAGATAGATAGATAGATAGATAGATAGATAGATAGATAGATAGATAGATAGATAGATAGATAGATAGATAGATAGATAGATAGATAGATAGATAGATAGATAGATAGATAGATAGATAGATAGATAGATAGATAGATAGATAGATAGATAGATAGATAGATAGATAGATAGATAGATAGATAGATAGATAGATAGATAGATAGATAGATAGATAGATAGATAGATAGATAGATAGATAGATAGATAGATAGATAGATAGATAGATAGATAGATAGATAGATAGATAGATAGATAGATAGATAGATAGATAGATAGATAGATAGATAGATAGATAGATAGATAGATAGATAGATAGATAGATAGATAGATAGATAGATGTGTATGGGGATGGAGAGAGAGAGTGGATGGGAGAAAGAGAAGGAGAGAGGGAGATTCTACATTTGGTTTGCCATTAGGTTGAATGGCAGGTAATATGCTTGTCTTTGCAAGGGTGCAGTGTGCATTCCCACCCATGACAGCTCAGCTTTCCTGGTCGGCCCAGGCGAGGTGGAATCTCTCCTTCCTCAGGTCGTCTTTGGAGCGTTTGTCTAGTGCTTTCTGGCTCCCAGCATGCTTTGTCCTTGTGATTCGGGACCAGGTTTTAAGGTACTTTTGAACCCGATCGGGTCCCGCCCTGCCCCCTGCAGCACCTGCAGCCCCGGGCGCCCCTCCCACGTGTAGCCTCCCGGGACTCACCCCTCCTGCCCACGAGGTTACATAACTGACCTTCTTCCGCCCTTCTCCACCGCACCGGCATGCAGTGCCCCCTTCCCCATGCGCACAACGGCTCAGGCGCCCGCCCTGCTCCCTGTGCAGCCCTGCAGAAAAGCTTGGGGGGCTGCGTGCCCCTAGATAGGGACAGTCATCATCCCATGGCTGTGACCGTGCCACCCTCGCTCAGAGGAGTGGGTTCAGTCCATGCAAAGGATTGTCTAAGGAGTTAGTTAGTTATTTCTGTTTCTGAAGCAACCAGATGCCAGGGCCCCACTGTCCTAGGCGCTGTACAAGATAGTCCCTGCCCCACCTCTCCAACAGCCTACAATGGAAGACACAGGCTGCAGGCTGGGGTCTTGGGCGACAAGGTGTGAGGGACCCAGTTCCAGGCCCCCAGAAGGGGCGGAGGCTTGGGCAGAAGGGGCGGGGCCAAGGGCAGTCAGCACTTAATACTGCCCACAGTGCGGCACTGGGCTCTCCCGCTCAGCCCTCAGAGCCCCCCCAATTGGCAGGTCTGCAGTGTTTCTAAGGGACCCAGCGCTCCCAGCTACTGCTGCTGTGGTAACAACAGTGGCTGGGAGTTCTGTGCCTTTTTGAAATGCCCGTTGCAATTACCCCTTTTGTCCTCCCTCTTCCCCCACCCTCTTCAGTGGGCTTGGCCCCAGGCCATTCTCCAGCAGCTGTCTGGGGCAGGGCGTGCTAGTTATCTGTTCTTCGATACTTAGGGCAAAGTCTGGAGTAGGCGTTATAATAAAACAGGTGTCAGCTCAGCACTGAGGCTGCAAATTTACGACAGCCTGTGGTTAAGTGGAGCTAGGGAGCTCACAGCACTCAGAGGACCATCCTCAATATTACAGCAGGGGTCTTCGTGGCATGATCTCCTAACCTTGCACAGCGCCATGCACCATGTGACCATTCCTGCCCCATCGCACCAAGGGAGGGCCAGCTCCTCTAGACCCATTGGGGTCTTTATCTTGTTCTTAGGCCTAGTCTAATACTATGGCCAAAATCCCAATAATATGTATGTGAGATCTTGACCACAGTTTCTGTTAAGAATCTTTCACATATGCCCAAACCTAAAGGGCCTGGTCTGAGGCCAAGGTAACAATGGACAATACATGGCTAAAAAGTGAACAGAGATAAGCAGAAGACAGGCCTTGTTTGTACAACTAGGCATCAAATAAGCTGAGACAGCAGAACCTCAGGAGCAGGGCAGTAATTGGGGCCTTATTGTGAATTATAGACACATAACTCTTTGAGAGTGGCCTCAAACGTCTGTCTGACAAGTTCAGGAGGAGATAGCAGTGTCTCTTCCCCACATACCAGCCAGTGTTTGGGGAGGGGAGACAGCCAGCATGCCAGCATGAGTAATGAGATCCATCCCTCACAGATTCCAGTCCTGTCCAGAGGGGCGCATTGATAAATATAGACAATTACCTATGCTGTTTACTGTTCTCTTTGTTTTAAGACCATAAAGGAATGTACCTGCGAGCAGACCTGTCTGGGAGATGCCACCCATCGTTTCTATGGATCTGAAATCAGGATTTAACCTATTTACTGCAAAAATGATCACACAATCTCCCTGGGCAACTTATTCCAGTGTTTAACCACCCTGAGAAGCAGGAAGTTTTTCCTAATGTCCAACCTAAACCTCCTTTGCTACAGTTAAAGCCCATTGCTTCTTCTCCTATCCTCAGAGGCCAAGGAGAACAATTTTTCTCTCTTTCTTGTGACATCTTTTTAGATACTTGAAAACTGCTCTCATGTCCCCTCTCAGTCTTCTCCTTTCCAAACTAAACAAGCCTAGTTCTTTCAGTCTTCCCTCATAGCTCATGTTCTGTAGACTTTAATCATTCTTGTTGCTCTTCTCTAGACCGTTTCCTATTTCTCCACATCTTGCTTGAAATGCGGTGCCCAGAACTGGACACAATACTCCAACTCAGGCCTAATCAGCTTAGAGTAAGGAGGAAGAATGACTTCTTGTGTCTCGCTCACAGCACTCCTGTTAAGGCATCCCAGAATCCTGTTAGCTTTTTGTGCAACAGAGTCACACTGTTGACTCATATTTAGCTTGTGGTTCATTACAACCCCTAGATCCCTTTCTGCTGCAGGGTGCAACCAATTTGGAAGCAGTAGCTGCTATAGTAGCTATTGCTCTAGCAAACTAGCCATTCTCAGTGTGCCAAATAGCTACATGTGGCTAGTGTAGTGGTTCTCAAGCAGCAGTCCACAGCCTGCCTTCCAGGTAGTTTGCAGCTCCAGTCCTGCCCTCCCTCCCTCTTGAGGTTAAAATGCCAGCACCAGTTTCTCGCTGGCATGGAGGGGAGAAAGCCCTGAGTCTTGCTGCATGATCCGTCTTTCAGGGGAGAAGAGCTCCTCCTCCCACAGCAGCACACAGACACGGTGCCTGGAGGTTTTTCCGACTGCTCCCATTGGCTGGAATCCCACAGTCCCAGGCTCTGGAGGCTGATGTTTTATCCATTAAGATGCTGGGACCCACCCCACCACCCTACCTTCAGCTGATGCCATCTCCAGCCCTGGGGAAACTGGTGGTGGTAGCCCATCTTCTTCTGGAGTGGGGAGGGAGGTGTTTGTGAGACTCAAATCCCCAATCCTACGCTGTGGAGGATCCCGCACCCATCACCCCCTCATGTACCACCCCCCAACTGAGACCCCGCACCTACAGCCTGCTTCTGCGCACCCCTCTCTGGCCAGACACCTTATCTCCAGCCCACTCCTGCACCCACCCTTGCTCTTGCTGCCTCCCCCTAGCCAGACACCCTACTCCCAGCCTGCTCCTGAATCCCACCTCCCATCCAGACCTTGCACCCTTACCCCCTCTTTCACCCCCCTTCCTGCCCAGATCCTACACCCCCATCCCTGTCACTGGCAGCCCTCTCCTGCCCACTGAACTCCCCATTTTTGTCCCAACCTCAGAGCCTCACGGGAGATCCACAAAATCCACTAATCCTAGAATCCCAGAAGAGTAAATCTGATCTATGGGAAGTCCTGAGACTCATTCTTCCCTGTCCCTCTCCCTACCCCAGTCGGGCGGGAGTGCCAGAGGATGAGGTGTCTCAGTTGGGGGGTCACATCAGTGAGGGATAGGGGGTTTTGGAAGGGTTGTTTGGTTGGTTGGTTGTTGGGGGGGGTTGGCTTCTCACTTGTGTGGTCACCAACTGATTTTTCTTTGGGTCAGTAGCCCCCGACCCAAAAAAGGTTCTCCACCCCTGCCAAAGAAAACATGGGAACCTTGTGTGTGGGACATGATTTAATATTTTACTTTATTTAAAATGAAGTTTGATAGAATAACATGCGAAAGTTAAAGCACTAAATCTATTTAATAGTTGAAATTAATATTTATTTTCTTACTGGTTAAATTAAACCGTTCTTCCTAGCTGTTGCACTAGCAAAATGGCTCGGGCATAATTATGTAATTAACAGCAAGTTTCCATTAGCAACTGGTGGTCCATGGAAAGTTTGCATTGAGTCAGGTGAGTCATGAGCCAATAAGTTTGAGAACTCTGTTCTAAAAGGATAGTAGATGTGGGAAGAACCAGACACTATGTAGGCCTGTGATAAATTCACTTTCCCACCTATGGCCAATATGGTGTGAACAATGTGGAACCAATTCAAAGCAAGGGCCACAAGATCATTGACTTTGAGATATTAGACATGTCTGGCCATGTCTCCCCTTGTAAAAATAATGTGGCAGTCGATCTTCTGGCATTCAATTAAGTGGATCTAGTAAAGTCTTTACCAGACCTGCTAAATTGAATGCTGAGGTTGCCCCCATCGATACCTGTACTGAGGAGTAAGGGGGTCATGAGGAGTAAGGGAAGTCCCCAGAAAAATAGATTCAAGGTATGTCAACTCCAGCTATGCAATTCACATAACTGGTGTTGCATATCTTGTCTCAATTTTCTCCTCCAGGGTAGACCTGGCCTCCAGTTAAAAATGAATTATTTGGGAGTAGTTCTCTGTGCTGTCTTACACAGGAGCTCAGGGTGGAGGATCACAGTGGTCCTTTCTGGCCTTGAAATATATGGATCTTTTGTTGCTGATTATAACAGACTGAACGGCTATCAGTTTTATCGCCCGCACTAGCTGGTGTCTATGGAGTACTGGGTTGTTTCTTCCTGTAGCAGAGGCCAATGTGGAGTCATTTCATGGTTTAAGCTGGAGGTCGGTGATAGCAGCAGCCCTCACTCTAGGAGTGTGTTTTGCAGTCATTCTGGTTCGTTGAATAGGGAGGTGGGCTCCCTTTTTCCTCCACAAGCACTTTAATGACTGCTTTGGCAGCATTGGACATGGTGGCCATGACACGGATATGCCCTGCAGTGACCACAAGCGCTTCCTGGCACTGGCCCAGCTTGGCTCTCTTGAACGTTGAGCTGCTGTTGGTGGGTGTATAATTGTACATCCTTGTGTAGACGTCCTCAAGGTTGCCAAGATGCTCTTTGCCCGGGGAGATCTCGAGGCCAAACTCAATGGAGTAGAGGTTGTAGTCAAAGGGGTTGGAGAACATGATGGCCAGGGTGAAGGCATCTGAGTCGTACACCAGTAGGCCTGCGCTCCCACGGAAGCTGAACCTTCCCTTTGTGAACAGGCAGCTCTCCTTGGATCCGGGTGGAATTCGGAGGGAAGGGGGCAGGAGGCTGTGGCCACTGTAGCAGTAACTCCTGTGGGAAGGAAGGGGGTTGAGAAAAGTCTGAATTCCACAGTCCAATGCTAGGAGACAGCCCAAAAGAGGCAGGAGCAATCAGGGAGAGGTTCAAAGAGGTTTCAGCACTGCAATTCCAAATCTTGTAGGCCTGAGACAACCAAAGGTAGCTTTGTTGACTCTACTGGAAATGTGCCACTTAAACGGGGTGCTACTGGTCTCTCAGAGCAGAGCTGAGCATCCCCACTCAGCCACTCACTAGACTGCTGGGAGGGAATCCTGGATCACCGATGTTTTAAGCCTCTGGGGCCTGAAAGGAATCCAGAAACCAGTCCAATCTTGGGGTCACTAGGCAAACTATTGGGGTGCAGACCCCCTATATAGATCCCCCTCCTGAGAGCTGACCCTGGGTCTCAGCGCTGACCCTTCCGGCACTCCTGTTGCTTAGCACAACATATCGCCCTCCTGAGAGCTGCCCCTGTGCCTGGCCCTGGGTCTCAGTGCTGACCCTTCCGGCACTCCTGTTGCTTAGCACAACATATCCCAAAACTCCACTGAGAAGTCAGAGCCTTCTGGTTAGCGTTTAAGCCTTTCAGGAGGCCCACAGTAATAGTAAAGCAGAAGAGAACTCAACTGAGGGGGTGTCTAATACACAAACAGACACTCAGGGCAGAGCACAGGACCACAGGCTCGCAGGGCTCCCACTATGGCATAAAAGTAGCCTTGTAAATTTTCCGGCTTAGGCTGCAAGACAGGCTCTGAAGCCTGGTTGAAGGGTAGGACTCATAGTAGCAGCTCCAACCTACAGGGCTCTTTTTAGAACCCTAGCGCAAGCCCCCGAGCCCGAATGGCTTTGCAGCATGGACGTACCAACCAACACTTTACAGAGGATACTAGCACCCTGGCTCTTGTACACTTAACAGGTCAAGCTCACAGGAGAGTCAATCCTATAGAACAAAATACATCCCTTGACCATAGCTCACCCTTCCCTGTCCACTGGGGGCAGCCATACCACTAAGGGAGTGGCCAGCAGGGCTGGGACTCCTCCATCTTGCCTGCCACCAGAAGAAGTAAGTGGGGGCCCCCTGCCTGGGAGACAGTACCCACCAGCCTTGGGACTGACAGGGGCAAAGGAGAGAGCCCCACTGCCCCAGGAAGTGTCAAGGGGAAGGAGAGAGTCCCTGCTGGCCCCTCTGCCCCAGAAGAAGCCAATGGGGAGGGAGATAGCACCCCCACCCCCACCCGTTCCAGGAGGGACAGTTCAAAGGGAGACAGCTTCTGCTGACCACACCGGGCCAGGGGAGAGGGAAAGATCTCCTGCTGGCCTCTGGGCACAAGCAAGCAAGGTGCACAGTTCCCACAGTCCTGGGCTGCCCCCACCCAGGGAAAAGCCAGTGGCCACCTCCACCCCTGCACAGAACCCCTCCTCACACCCTGCCCTGACTCCTGCACCCCCCACTTCTTGCCCTGAGTCCCTCCTAATCCTCAACCCTCTCTTTTACCCTGTCCCACATCCCTAGCCTCCTGCCTTGAGCTCCCCACACCACCCTGCCCTGCCTCCTGCAGCCCCCACCCTGCCAACCTCTTGCCCTGAAAGACCTAGGCAAGATTGGGTACGTCTTCTAATAATAAATAAAAGTGATTTTATTAAGTAAAAAAAGTAGGATTTAAGTAGCTGCAAGTAATAGCAGACAGATCAAAGTAAGTTACTAAGCAAAATAAAACAAAACATGCCAGCTAAGCTTAATATGCTAAGAAATTTATCACATGCAAT